AATAAATATTACATGCATTTTTATATAAAATAAAATTAGGTAGATTTTGAGATACTAGAGATGGAGATTTAATGAGTAAATCATTTAATACTAGCAAAACCACAAGTTTTGATTTTAAATTTGAAAATTTTTTTAACTTTTATATTTTCATATTTTGAGGGTTACTTTAATATTTTTTTGAAGTTTATATTTATTTGAAGAAAATTTTAATTTAAACTATTGAAAAAAAAAAATAAATATGCAATATGAAGCGAGAGAATGTAAAGGAGGAGAGAGAAGATGAATGGAAGAAAAGCAAGTAGATGAGGATTCTTTAGTAATTTTGTAGTTTAAATTGACCACATCACCTACCCAATGTCGTATCAGCACCAAGCCAATTCTTGATAACGGAGTAACAAGGGTGTGGACGGAAAGATGACATTTGATGAGGTCATCGTCAGCAGAAGGGCTGATATGCGGGTTTTGTCAAGTGGAGGGGCTGATTTGCTCTACTTTTAGGTAAAGGGGCTGATGTGCCACAACAATGGACGTAGAGGGGCTGAATTGCACCTTCTGCCTTTTACATTTGAAAATGTTATTCATTTCCCGCGCTTGAATAGCGCCTGTAAATTAAAAAATAAAAAGAAACAGGACATCTTGTTAGAATCCCTCCAAAACCGAGTCCGCGTTATTTTCCCCGTGTTATTTTCCCAAAACAAAGTCACTTTCATTACTATTTCTATTTTATTTTTGTTCCAAAACTCAAAATCACCTCGTATCTTTCCAGTCTTTCGTTCTTTTCATTTCCAAAATTTTTGTTTCATTTCCAGAGTCTCTCCATTGGGTAAGCATAAACCCTAAACCAATTGTAGTAGGTAAGCTTTCCAGTGATTGTAGCTTCAATTTTGATTTTGATTTCTCTTGGAACCTGATATTCATTTTGATTTTGATTTCTCAGATTTTGATTTCTTGTTATCCTTTGTGTCTTCTCCTTCGAATCTCATCAAGTACTGCAGGTATCTTCTGAGATTTTCCAAATCCGCTGTTTATGATTCTGAAATTTGAGAATTGAATCCGATTTCAACAAATGATGAACATTTGGGCGGTGGCGATGAGATGGTCGTAACGAACCCGGTCGTCTGGTTGTGCAGGAAACAATCGAGGGAGGTGGGAGGTGTGGTTGAGCTGCAGCCTTGTGCTACGCTTTAGCTCCGAGTATATCTATTTCTTTCAGATCTCCTACGTTTACTTTTTCATTAGATTCATGTCTTTTTGTCTCCTGTTTGCTTTATCATTTTGGTGGAGTTCTCTGGCATTGGAAACACTAGATATTCTTTCTTCACTTTCTGCATGTGGTTTTTGGTTTCCAATTTCAACTTTATATTTGTTCTTTTGTGATTTAGTTTCGTGATTTAGCTTTAGTTTCGAAAGTTGCTGTTAAAGGTTTTGTGATGTTTTCCAAGTTTAATATTAGCGTATTGCTGGTCATTTTTTATTTTCTAAGTTCAACAGCATCGTAGTGGCTTGGACCTTTATTTTCTTATTTAATGTAAACTTAATGTGAGTTGAATTCTATGTTGGTGCAGGCCATTGACACTTGCTTAAGAAGCAGAGCTTTGGAGAACAACAGCTGCTAAATAGAAGGAACTTTCAAATTGTAAGTCTATTTCTCAATTTTGGTCATTATTAATTGAATTCTGTGTTGTATGAACTTGTTTGTTTGCTCATTGAATTCTATGTTAGTGCAGGCCATTGACACTTGCTTAAGCAACAAAGCTTAGAAGAACAACAGCTGTTAAATAGAAGGAACTTTCAAATTGTAAGTCTATTTCTCAATTTTGGTCATTGTTAAGTGAATTCTGTGTTGTACGAACTTGTTTGTTTGCTCATCAATCCGCTGTTTTCCTCCCCCTCCAATCAGTAATTTTATCTCTTTCACTTTTGGCTTTGATGTTATGTCTTAAGATCATTTCATTTCCTTTTTCTTGATCTGTATGTTTACATGCTTCCTTCTTCTCTCTAGGTTTTTTCTGTTTTGTTTGCCGGAAGTTTTACAGCTTCATTATCTTCTCTCCATTCTGTATTCACCAAAAGCAGGGTAGTTATTAATATTATCACATTATGTGTAATGTTTTAGAACCTAACAAAGCAGCTGCGTGCAGCTCATTGATACAATATGCCTTTAAGATGTTAGATTTTTATTTTTTTAAGGTATTAATTTAACTAATTTCACATTGAATTTGTACACAACCTTCATTTAATTGATATTTCTAACGGATGCATTGGCATTGTTTGCTTTTGGAAAACTTTAGTGTTGGATACAGTGTTGGCTTTGTCAATTTGTTGTTTGTTAGCATATACTAGGGTCTTCCGTTCTTGCTAGTGTATGATTATTTGATGAGTGCATTCTGTGAGCAGTTTTAATTTCTGGGTCTGCTGTTTATGGATTCAGAAATGATGGGTTTTGTCACATGTTTGGCTAAGGCCAATGGGTCCTGAACTATATTTAATAGTAGTAGTTAACCAAGTTAAGGCCAAATGGATTTTGTTAATTATATGTTCTTTTAACTATTAGTCTTTGGACAGCTTTCACATATCCTAAAATAATTAACCAAGGTATGTCATGTCCTGAACTACTATTTAATAGGCATCAGTTCTACTCTAACCATATTAATTAGTTGCATATTTTTAATATCTTAATTGATCTTCATAATCAAATCCTTTAGGTATTTAGTTATAAGCATGTAAGTTTAAAATTCGTTAGAAATACTTAGTGGTTCAGACTAAAGTACAAGTTCAAGTTGTGAACTTTAATCGAATCCCTCAGACTTACGTATGGATATGTAGATTCTTCTGCATTCACATCACCAAGCAATATGAGTAACTCGGTGGTGTCACCTTCTGTGTTTTACTTCATCAAAGGCCTTCCAGAATATTGAGAGACGAAGGAATTTTGGTAATTGCTATGGCTTTATTAGGCCTTTTGCAAATGACTGATTGTTTCTTGTTCATAGTTTTTTATCTGTTATTTATTTTTTGGTTTAATATTCTATTTTGTGTTTTTTTTAGTGAGATATTTATATGGATCAGCTAGAACTGATCACCTAGCAGTCTAGGGGTGGCAATTTCCCTCAATCTCCGTGGGGCGCTGTGGGGATTCCCATCACGGGGACGGGGCAGGGATGGGGAGAATTTTCTCCCCGCGAAATTTCATGGGGAATTTTTCCCATCCTGTGGACCCTGCAAGAATTCCCATCCCCGCCAAAAATTAAAAAAATATATATTTTAAATTTAATTTAACCTTTAAATTAAAACTCAAACCCAACCCAAACCTTTAAAAGTATTTTGAGTTGGCTCTTGGCTGCTTCCTTTCATGCTGAATGTTGCTTTAGTTATTTTATTTATGTTGGGTTGATTTTTGCTTATATTTAGAATAAGTATGTTGCTTTATGTTGGATTAATTTTTATTTATATTTGGAACAACTTATGTTTGAAACATGTTGCTTTATGTTGGATTAATCTCTATTTGGAACAATTTTGTTGATTTAATTATTTATGTTAAATCAATTTTTATTTTTGTTTGATGCAAAAAATATATACTTTGGTATTAATTGGCAGGGAATGGGGATGGGGGGCAAAATTTGCCTCCCGTCAAAAATCCCTGTGGGATCTTCGTCCATGCCATTCGTGGAGACGGGAAGGGACTCCCCGGCTCCGCGGGATCTCGTTGACATCCTACCTAGCACTAGAAATTTGAATCGTTATTAGGTGATTTACTTTATTCTTTGAACATCAGGGGCAAGGATGCTTTCAATTCATTTGAAATAGTGCAACTCCCTTTTGCATATTAGAGATCTAGCCTCCATGATTCAATATACTTTTTCTTCAAGTCTGACTCCCAAAATATATATTTACCAAAAAAACTCCCGAAATGTATATCCATGTTGTACATTAATCTTGGATTTATATAATTTCTCTCTCTCTCT